AGCCTACTTAGTAATTTAAATGAGCCTAACTCCGATTAGATAAGCTTGTTTTTCACACATTCCTCTTCGTCCACAATTGATTCAGGTCCACGCTTTTAATTTATTCTACATTGAATAGAACTAGTTTTTAATGGTAATGTACAGTATATTATTTAAGCTAAGTTTATTCTTAGAGTATCTGAATCTAAGCACTATTAGCGTATAAAAAAACTAAAGCGACAACATTTCAATGTAACCTGTGATTTAAATCTGTTAAAAAACGATTTCTTGCGTCCAGTAATGATGCATTTATGCATGATAGTGAAAGAATTATAAAGAATTCTCATAATTTAAAGTAATTTTCGGAGTTTGCTGGGTGAAAATTAGGAACCCAAAATCGAAGATAAACGCAAATCTTCTCAATGCGTTTAATATATAAAGCAGTATGGCATTCCGATTAGATTTTGAGATTATCGACTAATTTAACATGTTTAGCTAGTATCGTTTATAAGAAGTAATATATTTGCTAGCGGCCAAGTCAAAAACCCCCTAAAGCACAATAAAATAAAGGAATGATATTCTGGCTATATCTACATAATATGATAGCTATATCACTTAGCCCTGCTGTTTGGCGGAGTTAAGGAGAATAGTTTATTGGTCAGTCCATTTATCGTAGCCAAAAGATAAGACAATATCAGTGGAAAAATAATATGGCTTAAAAATATGCATGAAAAAAACACACATGATAAAGATAAAAAGGACATGGTTAATTATGTGCTTGCCTGCTATATGAAAATGAATTGTGAGATAGTGTTATCTAAGCTTCTGAGAAAAAAGTTCGGCAAGAAATGTTGAACTGGCTGTTGTAATGGTGGCGATAAAGCAGAATAGTTTATGAAAAAAGATTAAGAAAAGTTGAGGGTAAATATATGTTATTTCAGCGAGACTTTGGATGCCAAGGCATTTAGGGTTAGTGTATTACCCATAATCAGCCTCATTTGTCAGCATAGAAGCAATGTAATAATCTGGGTTTCTTGCTGGGACGATGATTGAATGCATGCTGAAAAGCCCATATTGAGTCCAAGTGGGGGCAGACTATAAATGGAAAATATATGGATGGGAGTGGACGCGATTAGGAAATGGCAAAATATTGGCAACAAACGATAAGACCAAGATCGATGGTTGAAAAATATAAATATAGATGTGTTAAACAATGGAAAACAGAAAGTGGCTATACAAGATGAGGGAAGTGATACCAAAAATAAATTCTGCTGAATAGCAGAAAGGAAACAAAATGTGGCAAAGAGATCTCTAGATAATCTGATCTCGCTAATTAGCGAGTGATGAACGTAGTAGGTTGCTGATGGGTAGAAAATAAGAATGATGTAGAAAAATGGAATCACTCGGGAATTTGTTGCATGGGCTGAAGAAATTAATCAGACTGAGAAGTTATGGAAGAGATGGGGTTCCATAAAATCTGGTCAAAAATGTAAATTGTACGACTCGTTCCAATATCAGCTCTACAAGTAAGGCTTGAGCCGTAATATCCGCATGAGGATAATAGGGGATCTTGTGAATGAGGCGCTTGAGAAGAATTGTAAAATAGAGAAGCCGGTTTATCTGTGCTCATATGAGAAGAAAGGTGTTGAAAAGGCTTCAACTGGAACCGGGTTGATAGAAATCTGATGCGGAAATGGCTAAGGCAATTTAAGTGCAAGGTAGCCAAGGCCGCCACTATTTTAGACCAAAAGTAGAAAGAAGAATGAGGTAAGAGAGTTTAACTCGGCCTCAAAATACCCGTCATGCCAACACTCTCATAAATCGCCATTATTCTGGCTGGACGGATGGGCGAAGATGTAGAGAGAGAGAGCAACGCTGTAAAAAGTCGAGCACTGGCAGAATTAATGGGGGATAGGAGAATAAATGAACGAATTACACCATTAGCTGAACATACAAAAAGTGGGTTTAAGTGTACATGTGCCGTTTGTGCAGGCTAAGCGAAAGAGTATAGGAATAAAGTGAAAGCTGTATAGATAAAAATAAATCAAACCTCGGTGTTGGATGAAAGCAGTGAAAGAGAAGAGAGAAAAGTTTCGTGCGCAGTAAGGATGGACTGGATGAGCGGAAGAGAGAAGAGATCACTCGATGTCGGTCGATCCTGGGCATGAGGGCGAATAAGGTTCTAAAATGTCGTTAAGAAAGCAGACTTATATAGGCTGTCTAAGTAGCAGTGACTAAGAGGGAAGGTTTTAGAATACCTAAATTCACAACCACATGATTAAATATTCAGGAGATTCCA